AGCACCCGAGGTGGGGAAAGAGCCATGCTCGTCTATCCAAGCTAAAGTGAGGGCCTACGCGTTAGGGCAAAACCCCCGAAAAAGAGTGTAGGGCAACTGTGGAGTAGCAAGTCGCTAAGAGCAAGGAGAGTTGTGAGTTGGCTTAAGCTGTAGTAACTGTGTGATTAACAAACGTCAGGCAGTTGGGCCGTGATGCAAAGAGTTTTAAACCCCGGATCGATTAATTAAGATGATAAGCTCATCAGCAGGCAGATCAGGCACACGGTATCCGGAGATGAAGCAACAACAACAACCGGAAGTTACACATACTTACCCGCAATAGTGGTCCGTGTGACAAAACGAGTTGCTAAAGCAAAAACACGTTAGTGTACGCTTGTTATGCTAATGTTACGGGCTAGCTGACATTAGGTCCCGCATGCTGGCTCTTACAGAACCGCTCCCTTTCGTGTATGTACAGCTCTCAACATGCCCAGACTTGTAGTGATTTTCACCTCGTTTTATACTTTTTCGCCTCATTCTGAAAGAAACAGGTGACATTTGCTAACGTGACGGCCATCTTTGTGATGGTGACGCGTATTGTGCGAGACCAGAGACCTGTAGTTCACTGAGCGGTTTCACACAAAAAAATGTGTAACTTCACAGATTTACGACACATTTTTATTTTTTTGACTTGCAAAATGTTCTTTTAATTTGACAAACATCATATGTGGCACAATTCAAACGGGATCGAAAGATGACTTTTCTCTCTCCATTGACTTCAATGTATAATTTTCCGCTTCCGGGGTCCCATGGGTCGGAAGTCGATGGGCGGGACTTCGCCTCTCTATAGTGTTTGTCAAAGCATTACACTCCTAGAATTAATGTGTAATTTTTTTCATATCAAATTAATTGATATATATATATATATTAGCTGTACACTTTACGAATATAATGTTTTTTTATGGACAACTTTACCATTCAATCTCGTCCAACTGATATTGCTGATGTCACTCCTCGGCTCTTGGTAGTTCAAGCATTTATCAAACCTGGCAACTCTGGGCTTCCTGGCAGCTGTCAATCAAAGTCCAGTGGCTCCGCCCCAAAGTGTCAGAAACTTTTCACGCGCGTGCAGACAGACTCTGCGAGCGAGTGAGGCTGACACTCCCGCGAGCGAGCAAGAGGGCTGTCTGCGCGCGAGGGTCATTTCATGCCCGTGTAAAAGCACATTTTCCGCTCGTGAGTAGCTTGTTTTGCGCACTAGAATATTGACCCAAATCTGACTCCATAGAGCCCCTCCTCCAACACACACGAACGCGCATATGACCAATGAGGGCACGAGATAAATTTGTGCAAAGATGGAAGGCTGACAGGCAGGTAGGCCATCCAGTTATTTTAGCCGGGTCGGCTAAAATGATTGGTCGTGCTTTTTACAGTACTACGGCTTACACAGATGACATTTTTGTATGGTTTTTTGTCAAAGTATTTAAGATATTCATTGCTATCGGGATGTTAAGAGCATTCCATGGAATATAACAAAACGTGTATCTCGAGCCGGTTTCTCAAACTTACCTAGCCCACCTTTAATGTGGCCGACCCTCCGCCCGAATGCGCAAACGGAGGGGAGTGTAGTGTAGGGTACGGTGTGGTTTGGGATTGGGCCTGAGAAACATGTTTGTGCTATGACTTATACATCTAATGTTTGAACCCTTATAAGATGGTTTTCTCTTGTTAATAAGTCACAGTGTTTCCTATGAAACGCGAGTGAACTAACCCTCGTCTGGCACAATATAAATCACCAAAACTGTCTATCTGTTTTTCCATCCATTTGCAAGATGGTCAGTAGTTATGTTTTAGATACACAGCAGCACAAAGAATGTAGCCAAATTAAATATTGGTCAAATACACTCAAAACTATTTGATACAGGCAAATAATCCCTACAATAAACAAAACTGGCTTTAACAAATACTGAAGGCATGTGATTACTTTTGTCTCAAATTGCTAAAAAAACTGAGTATGTTATCTCACAGCAAACTCCAGCCAAAAATCATTACATTTGATTATGGTTGCTATGCAAACATGAACTTTAATTCCCCTCAAATACAGTTTCAGAATCATGAGAGGAACTGACCTTAATTCGGCACACATTTAACCTTCCAAAAGTATTTATAGGGAGGTCTTCTTAAAAATGAAATAGCAAAGGGGGGCATTTGAAATGTAATTCTTGTTGTTATGAGTGTTTTGTAGTGTATGCTATGCAGGGTTTTATAAAATAAAAGGTGTTCTTGAGTAATGTTCAGTGCGGCTCCACATTAACAAGCAGTTGGCAGGACGATGTTTCTGTGGAAGGAGGGGGCGGTGCGGAGTTTCTGCTGGAAGTCCACAGAGTTCTGAGTGAGAGGAACCGTGTGCTACAGCTACAGGACACAGTGTGGACAAAGAGGTAAGACCTCAGTTAGTTTACAAAGTAACGACTTCAGCTCGCGCTAAATATTTCCCTCGCGCGCATTGTTTACGCTTCTGTCGGTAAAAACGCTGAATCTGCAGAAACGCGTAAACGGATGTGTTCATCACGAGATCTCCTGCTGTCCCCCAGCTCCGGGACACAGCTCCAACACAGGGACAGGTTATACAGCCATAACATGTTGGAGTGTCTTCTGAGGGCTAAAACAAAAGTTGTTTCTGTGGACAGTGAAATTGACCGAATCAATCCGTTTATACCAATTGTCCAAAGCAGATGGGTTATGATTGCATTAAACTCCAGACTTTTGTGTGTGTGTGTGTGGGGGGGTTAAGAAGCTTCCCCTTCAAACCTCACCAGATGGTTTGCTTTCTCAACAGCATGTTGCAAACCTAAAAGAGAAGTAAACTCAGATTGTCTAACTTATGGAGAAATCTGCTCACAGGCTGACAGTGTTTGGCTGTCTCTGACTGACCTACATTCCTCTGCAACTATTCTATATTTTGCTTTGCTTTTGAGCTGCACAGCCAACCAGAGAGCTTTCCTGAAATATCGACTAAAGTTATAAGAGGAACGGCTGCTGATTAATTTGATTTGAAAGCTCTCTCCATTGTGCCTCTGAGCTGGGCCCGGTCCACTCCCTCCACCATGGCTCGGTACCTGAGCTACTTCACGGCTGTTGGGGATGAGCCGCAGGTCGCTGGGGAGGAGGAGGAGGAGCTGCAGGCGGCCAGCGAGGAGCTGAGCCCGAACACCGGGATGTTCCCCACCACGCTCTCCTTCAGACAGTCCCTGCAGAGGCTCTACAGCTCCGACCGCTTCCAGGTAGGCCTGAACACTTTCAATGCATCTGTTGCTAGGGCAACATCAAGTCACTGATGTGGGCCTGGCAGTGGTTCAGTCAGTAGGGGCTTGGACTGGGAGCCGTAGGGTTGCTGGTTCAAGTCCCAGAACAGAACTAAAGTATGGAGTGTGGACTGCTACTTGGAGAGGTCCCAGTTCACCTCCTTGGCCCTGCCGTGGTGCCCTTGAGCAAGGCACCGGACAAACATTGACACGTATATCAGAAGCTGGAAGCAGACAATATTTGGCAGTTCAACTTCTTTTTAGCATCCTCTCACATTGTAAGACTCATGACAGACTGCTTTTCAAAGAACACATTTGCCTCAGCAAAATCAAAGATATAACTTTTATTCCACACGTTCTTCTCGTCAAACCTGTCGCCTACATTACCCACAAGGCAACAGTGACTGCCGACAATAGTGGGTTGATCTTTCTGATAGGTCTTAAACTGGTTCAGAAATGTAATCAAAGGGAGAATATTTTATGTCAGCCTTTGAAATCATGTGTCCAAAGAAGAACACGACATCAGACAGGCTGCCACACTGCCTGCTTTTAAATCGCTTCTTAAAACCCACCTCTTCTCCTTAGCATATTAACATCTTTTAGAGCGTTGCTTTTATTGCTTTTAAATTGTCTATTGTTTTTACTTGTACTTGTTTTATGGTGTGTGAGCTGAGCTGTGTGAGTTTTTGTATGTTTTGTTTTGTTTATTTGCCTGTACAGCACTTTGGTCTGGAGGTTTAAAGTGCTATATAAATAAAGCTGTATTGTATTGTAACACAATAGCTGTTATGGGGTTCCACAAGGGAGCTGTCTAGGTCCGTTATTGTTTTCATTATACATGCTGATACTTAGTGACCTCATCAGAAAACACAATGTATGCTTTCACAGCTATGCGGATGATGCACAACTGTATATATCCGGAGAACCAAATCACACTGCATTGCACAGTAGTAGTAGTAGTAGTAGTAGTAGTAGTAGTAGTAGCAGTAACTTCCTAATGCTGAATGAGGACAACTGAGATCCTGCTAGTCGGCCCACAAGCAAAAAGGGAAATGCTGGTTAATAATCTGGGGAGATTTACTCCCAGGATCAAACCGGAGGTCACAAGTCTGTTGTATTAGATTCAGATCTAAGCTTCAGCTCACACATTAGCAACATGATAACAACATTTTTTCTTTCACCTTAGAAACATTGCTAAAGTAAGACCATTCATAAATCCGAAAGACGCTGAGAAGCTAATACCTGCCTTCGCCTCGAGCCGGATAGACTACTGTAATGCACTTTTCACTGACCTCCCGAAAAAAACTACTGCCAGACTCCAAAACTCTGCAGATCAGCTGCTAACAAGAATTAAGAAGAGTGAACCCATCAGTCCAGTTTAAGCCGCTCTGCCATGGCTTCCTGTTTACTTTAGGATTTATTTTAAGCTCCTCCTCCTGACATATAAAGCCCTGAATGGGCAAACACCAAGCTACATCGCTAACTCCATGGTCAGCTACAAGCCGTCAAGAACACTGCGATCCTCTGCTGCTTTGTTAGAGCTTCCCAGAAACCGCAGGAAAATTGGTGATTCAGCCTTCATTAATTATGTTCATTTATTAAGTCTTATTTGTACAAATGAGCAGAGGCTCTCTTCTTTCTATCTCCACATGTGGTCACTTTCCAAACGTTAGTCTTATACCCAACCGGCGCTGAATAATGTGACATCACTTGTGATTGTGTCTCCCTTTGTGTATTTGTTTCACACATGCAGTAGGAAACACAGAGCTTGATGTGTACAATGTGTTGAGGCACCTTGTACTGATGGTCTGACTTGGCTTCCAGGTGGTGGTGGTGTGTTTGGTCGTCCTGGATGCCATCTTTGTTCTGGCCGAGCTGCTGATAGATCTGTCCGTGATCAAGTTGGAACATGGCCACCTTGCTCCAGAGGTGAGAGACAGATTGCTCCACATTTAGTGTTTTTGTATAAAACCTGTTTCTGACCCACTTGTTTGCAGGTTTTCCACTACCTGAGCCTGGCTCTGCTCACGTTCTTCATGGTGGAGCTGTTCGGGAAGCTGTTTGCTTACCGTCTGGAGTTCTTCCAGCACAAATTTGAGGTGTTTGATGGTTTGGTGGTGACGGTTTCCTTCATATTGGACATTGTGTTCATCTTCCATGAAGACGCCTTTGATGGGACGGGTCTCCTCATCCTGCTGCGACTCTGGAGGGTGGCCAGAATCGTCAACGGTCAGTCACACTCTGCCTGGAAGTTATTTCATTTTGGGGAAGATGCATTGCACCTGAGGGTCTCTGTAGCACGACTGGAAAGGCTGGACGGGCTTTGACCCTTACTAGAACATATTTGTAGTCCATATTGTAAAGCTCTGAATATAGTTATCAGTTATCAGCTGGCTCAAGTTTTGTGCCCCCAATGGTGAAATACTCTCATTCATGTAAGCCGTACACACCTGCACAGGAACAACCTGCAGCAACACACACACACACACACACACACACACACACACACACACACACACACACACACACACACACACACACACACACACACACACACACACACACACACACACACAGACACACAGACACAGACACACACAAACGTAATGCTTTTCCAAAGTGATCCTAACTACTTCATCTTTGTTTGGGAGAAGCAAAGTCAAGTCTGTCCCCTTACTCATAGTGATCAGTGCAGTGTGCAGTGACGGCGCCCTTGTAAAATATGAGAAACAGCCCCTTTATACGCAGTTAACATCCAGGTAGGCAGACTACTGGCTGGTTAATTGGACAATTATTTTGGCCCAGGGCCCCCTAGCGGGTTCATCTGGCAAATCTTTGGATCTGAGCAAAGTCGGCCATGTCTGATACATTAAAATTCTTCTTATTTTATAAATAAACTATTGTATACACGTAAATTACCCATAAAAACATATTTGATTAATTTTCTAAATAGATCTTTGGTGAAATCGAATAAAGAGGGTGAATTAGAACGGTACTTAGTGGATATACATACTTTTTTATATCTTAATAATAATACATATATATTGTGATATATATACAGTGGAGGAAATAAGTATTTGATCCCTTGCACATGTTGTAAGTTTGCCCAATTACAAATAAATGAACAGTCTGTATTTTAGAGATCCTCTCCAAACCCTTCAGGTTTTGAAGGCTTGATGCTTGGACCTCTGGGAAGCTTCAGCTCCCTCACAGATGTTCTATGTGATTAAGGTCCGGAGACTGGCTAGGCCCTCCCTCACCTAAATGTGCTTCCTTCTTTAGTCACTCCCCTGTGTTGCCTTGCTGTTATGTTCAGGGTCATTGTCCTGCCTGGAAGACCATCCATCATCGACGCCATTTTCAGTGTTCCCTGGCTGAGGGGAGGGAGGCTAATCGGGCAAAATGTTACGCTAACCATGGACCCCGTACATCCTGGGTCCTCGATGCAAGGGAAGTCCTCCCTGTCCCCCCTTAGCAGAGAAACCCCCCAAAGCCAGAAATGTTTCCACCTCCAATGCCTTGAAACGGATGGGTGTTCTGGGGTTATAGTCAGAGGATCTGTCCTCCTCACCAAACAACGGCACGTCGAGTCGATGCCAAAGATCTCGAAGGTCTCATCGACCACACCAACCCTTCTCAAGGCCTTCTCAGACCATCCTTCAGAGGTTCATTGGTCAACTTCAAGACCGGGCCTTTCATGTTCTTTTTGAGCAGCGGTGCCCCTTCAGGCCGCTGCAAAGGTTTGATCAATTTATGGTGTAGTGTATTACCAATAGCTTTCATTTGTGTGACTGGGCTCCCAGCTGCCTTGAAGATCAATTAAAACTTCCTCCCTTTGTTAAGTTTATGGCTGATCCCCTCACCTTTTTCCTGATCATCAATAACCCCCACGTGGCCCAGATGTTGGTGGGGAGCCCAGACCCGAGGGCCGACTTGAATGCTCATGCCTGTCCTTTCCTTCTAATTCTGAAAAATAAAGGCACAAACAAGTTGTCTCCTCCTCACCGAGCTGCTCCTCTGGACCGATCTTGGTAGCCCAATCCAGCCTTGTGCGGTCTAACAGTCTGGTCCCATGAGGTCCCTGAGACAGCTTTTAGTTCCTTGCCCATGGTGGGAGGAGGGATGGAATCTTGATTGGTTTTGATTTCTTGTGGACAGGTGGTCTTTATACAGGTATCAAAGGGTTTGAATATGAGGGGCACTTTCCTAAAGGAATGGATTATGTACCGGTCCTATTGAGCCAGAATTCTTTGTTGGTTGAAAGGGGGATCAAATACTTATTTCCACATAGTTAAATGCAAATAAATGTGGTATCTTTTATATAATGTCAAATCGGATTTTCTTTTGGATATTCCTTACTCTCATTGTAAAATAAACATTACCAAATAATCAGCAAGGGATCAAATACTTATTTCCTCCCACTGTAACATGTTATTAAAATATTTTATTCTATTTTTATTTTATCTTTTTATAAGAAATTTTACTTTGTTAATATAAATATCTTATTTTATACTTTAATTGCATATTTTTAAATTAATTTCTTTATATATTTTCAACAGTATGAAACTATGTTAATTGTAAAAATGAAGCAACTGTCAATAAAAACTCAATTTCAACTTATAAAAAGTTATTCTGTTCTAAAACCTGTTGTCCTCTTTCCCTTTCCCCCACAATCCTTCACGCTGAATTTAGTTGTAGCAGCTTCCTTTTGGATTGCAGTGAAAATGTGCAACTGTGAAAAGAAGAAAGAGCAATAAGAATCCATGTAAGCCTGTTGCTGTGTGTGTGTTGTGTGTGTGGTGGTGTGTGTGTGTGTGTGTTGTTTGTTTGTGTGTGTGTGTTGTGTGTGTGTGTGTGTGTTGTTGGTGTGTGTGTGTGTGTGTGGTGTGTTGTGTGTGGTGTGTGTGTGTGTGTGTGTTGTGTGTGTGTGTGTGTGTGTGTGTGTGTGTGTGTGGTGTGTGTGTGTTGTGTGGTGTGGTGTGTGTGTGTGTGTGTGTGTGTGTGTGTGTGTGTGTTGTGTGCAGGTATCCTGGTGTCAGTGAAGACTCGGCTCACTAAAAGCGGGCACAAGCTGAAGGAGAGCACGACACCTGGTGGGCAGAGAAGTCACCGAGCTGCAGGAGCGCAAGCGACACGCTGGTGAGTCCAGTCCTGCTGCATCATTTACAACTGAAAGGTTTCTGAATTACGCGAACGGGGAACAATTTGAGGACACTGAGACATTTTGAAGTCATTTGCAACCTAAGGGGATATAAAACCACTAACAGTATAAAACTTAAACATGGATAATATTCATCATCTCATCTGCTTTATACTAAAAATCTAAAGTTTTGACAGAATACATAATGGCTTCAGAGTTTTAATTCAGATAATAGCTTTTTTTAAATAAAAAAATTCATTCAAGTTTTTATTCTTGTAGTGTCGTCATTCGTAGTGACATAGCAACTTCGGCACAATGCTAGAAACACTAGCTTCTGTCTCAGTTCACATATCTGAATTACATTTTGCTATTGTTAAGGGTACAGCCGTTTTGGGTTGCAAAAAGTAATGTCCCAAATGGTCAGTATAGCAAACATGCAGTCGCATTATGAGTAATCCAGATGGTCTTCTCGTCACATTTAAAAATGTGAAATGTGGAAAGCTGGACCACTTCTCACACATCAAATGTCTCCAACGTAATGG